ATGTTTTTACCGTTGAGTTCCTATTAATGATATATTCAACTCTCATTAAGTTTGCATAAGCCAAAAACCGCTCGAACTTAAATCCGAGTTTCGGGCTGTACACTGGTAAGCCGAATCTTAGAAAAATCATAACTTTTTCATACGAAGTCAGATTTGGGCGTTCTTTTTATGGATGTTCTCGGTTTAATGTATACTAAAACTTTGGTTTAGATCACTAAGTTTAAAAAATCCTCCATCATAAATTCACTATTTACGTCTCTCGGTACTGTGTCGGTTTTGCCGTAAAACTTCGACGGGCCATAACTTCTTTGTTATATCTCGGATTTCGGCGTTCTTTATATGTATGGAACCCTTGAGAAATATTATACAAATTAGTTAAGATTATTTAGACCCCTATTATCTTTAAATTGACTAACTCGGATCTACGGACGTTACAACAACAAGGGTTCAAAACTCAAACAAAGGAGATCTAAGCTTCTAAAGAGCAAGATTAAGACTTTATACCTCAAACAAGTTTGAAATAGAGCAGATAATCTGGATCTACAAGCTGCTCCTTGAATCAACACCTTTCTCCAACCTTCTCTTTCCTTCAAAGCATCAAAGTACACTTAAAAAGAGCTTCCAAGATCAAGAACACTCAACAATGGAGTTAGGATTTTGTTGAGGCTGATTAGGGACAAGAGGGAGGCTGATAGAAAAGATCATTGGGATATAATGTTCTTTAAATAGTGCTCAAACCCTAAATATTAGGGTTTTAGGGTCTGAACACATACGTCGGGCGTACCCACTCGTATGCTGCGTGTACGTGCATGGCATCTGATTTCCTTTTACTCTAGTATGCCCTACATACATGGGTGTTGGATTAGGTGTCTAAACCCATAACTATTTTGGTATGTACTTGACCCGATTGTGAGCATGGTCCGTTTGGGTTGCCTTCACCATAGCAACTGATAGGATGAACTAAGGAGAAAGAGGATTAATTATGATTTATTAACATATTATATGAATAATGTATTAAAAGAGAAATCATATTTTTTAATTAATATGAATAATGGACTCCACAGAAGTCAAAGTGGACGAAATCTATGGGGAAACCCATTAGAATTCGTCCAAAGCTTCTAAGGAGGGAGTCCATGGGCTGCTTAGAGCCTAAGCAGTAAAATTAAGGTTCCTAGTTGAACAACCTAATAGCATACCTATATAAGGAACCTCCAAGGCCCCAAAAACATGGTGAAGTAATCCCTAAGGGTTCTTGGACGTTTTTGGTGCTCCTCCTCATCTTGTTGCTCATGGTGTTTGTGACTCCATTAGAGGTGCAACATTTGAGGCACTAAGCTTTCAAGGGTCAAGGTCAAAAGGAATTGAGATTGTTATTGCTACATAACAATCAAGGTAAGATCTAAACCCTAATTCATATGTTAATTCGATTATTGTATGCTAGATCAAGGGTTTATGAGCTTTGGATGATTATTGCTTGTTTATTAGACAAACTAGATTCAAAGCTTTAGGGTTTGCATGTATACCTTAGGATTGATGTAGCGATCAAAACCCATCAAGGGGGTGGTATGCCCCTCGTACGGCACTCCCCAAGCCCAAAATGAAAAGTTCAATGACTTCAAGGCCCAAAATCAAAATAATTAAAATAACCAAATTTAAATAAATACCTTAGAATTATCGAACGTCACATGAACGGTTCAAAAATTAAGATTTTTTCGTGTTTTTAGTCCTAAAAATTAAAACGTTGTTGTGGTTTTTGTCCCTCGAAAACCTAAAAGGACAATTTTCCCTTTTAATTTATTTTTTGTATTTTATATATTTATTTTAATCTTTTATTAATTAAAAATAAAAAGAAAAGAATGGACCTCTCTCTCTTTCTCTCCACACACTGGTCGTTGACATAACCACATACATACACAATTCTTTCAAGATATAAACTTTCTAAGAGCAACTCCATCAAAACCATTTAATCCCTTCAAATCGAAACCAATATCATTCCATCAAAATCAACGTCTTGGAGAAGTTCTAGTTTCGATTGAAATCAAGGGGGTTCGATTTCAGGGGTTTTGAGGTTCGATCTCATGGGTTTCACCCAAATGAACATATAGAAGCCGAAGATAGAAAAACTTTGAGAAATTACTTTTAGATGAAAACTTTGAAGCAAATCAAGGAAGGGTTAGTAGGAGATGGATCTAAAAGCAGGTCAATGAAAGTGACAACGTTGAAGGTGTCTCCAAAGAACTCACTGTCGTTGGCACCCCCACCTATTCCCTCTGATGAACACGAAGCAAAAGGACTATAACAATGTAGGAGTTAACATAAGAAGCACTTATAAAGGTATGGTTGAAACTGGTGATCTGTAGTTCAACTGGGTTTAAAAAGAAAATGTGTATAGGGTGGGGGAGGTATATGTTGGAGATGAGAGAACCGATAACGGTTTATTTCCTAATCGAGCTCTTTTTAGTGTGATGTTTTTTCAAGTGATCAAGTTTGATTTTTTTTAGCATTTGGTTTTTATTTACCGAATCATGATGTTTTTTCATTACCATCATCCTACTCGGTTGTGATTTCAAGTATCGATTATGGCTTTCATTTCAGGTGGAGGATGCCAACGATAGTCTTTTCAAGTAATTTAGGACCAAAACCACGGGAATTTTCAAATTTTGGATATTTCATGCAAGTTAAAAACTTTTTGTACCATATTCATAGTTTTATCAAACCACAACGACCAATTTTGCAATCTTGTCTTTTTTATTAGACAATACCCGAACTATCTGACCCGAACTACTTGAAACCCACAAAGTATACACGATTAACACCCTTACGTGGACATTTTTTGCATCATACTTTTAGGGGTTTAAGAGTTAAGAAAAAGGGATTGAAATGTAAGCAATAACACTAAAAAAAATTTAATGTCAAGTGGTCATTATGTCATTTGACCAAAGTTTGATGACAAAATTATGACAAAGGACAAAGTATAAATAGGTTGTGAGTGAACGATAAAAATCACATTTTCCCTCTCAAAATTGTAAACTTGAGATTTAAATTATGTATTATATCCTAGCCAAAGTGCGGTTTTCGGAAGTGAAGCCTCTGTGAACAAAGTAATGATCTTTGGTATACAAACCTTTAATAGAGGTACATATAAGTCTTGTAAAGTGGATTAATGAATAAAATGAGCTTTTCTTTTATAACAATAACATTTGCATTTAAGTTGGGAAAATATAACAAATATTATATTTAATTTTAACAGTGATTAATTACTAGGTGGGATTATCTAACGAAAATGTCCAAACATATGAAGGTGGAGGCATATCCGCCATCCGGCATCAAATGCATTTGCTTTTCACAAACTCTAAATAAAGCTTAAAGAGAATTTGGTTCAAAGTGACCAAGAAAAAAAAAAAGATTTTCAGTGTTACCAAAAAGCAAAAGCAAAAGTGCAGATAAGATTTAAATTGTGTACCTTTTGTTTCTGCTTTTTCTTGCTTTAATATGCTTTTTTTACCTGTCTAGGATAGTAAGATGTCACTACTACACCTTATTATTACATATTGGTACACTAATTACTAATCTATAATAGTGTACATTTAAATTACTCCCTAAGCATGTCACAAAAGATTTCTTTTTAATGAAAGATAAACGTGACCCATTCACAAGAATACTCTAGATTGTGACTGAACTCGAATCACTCATAAATAAGTATATATGTTAGATTCACAATACTAAAGTTAGACTTTTTCTATGAAGTGTGGAAATAAGAAAACTATTAAAGTAATGCTCAAATTACAAGCATTATACACAAGTCTTTATGTACATGTTTCGATAAATCCCAAATCATACAAAATAGTAACATTGTGATACGTTTTAGGGAAAATGACTTAAAAATCCAATGAAATTTCTAAACCATTCAAAAAACTATAATCATGTTTTGTGTGTTCAAAAAAACTCAACGAACTTAATATTTTGTCTAAAAAATCCAACAAAGTTCCAAACCATTCAAAAAAATCTCAATTTTGTTTTGTTTAAGTTCGTTGGGGTTTTTTTGAACAGTCAAAACATGATTGGAGTTTTTTAAACGTTTTGGAAACTTCGTTGGTCTAACAAGTCATTTTTCCGATACAGTAATAAGCCACGTCATCTGTTTCTCTTATTTGACTTTCAGGAAAGTGTAACTTAGTTTGACTTTTTAGACAAAATATTAAGTTTGTTGGGTTTTTTTGAACATACAAAACATGATTAGGGTTTTTTGAACGGTTTGAAAACTTTGTTGGGCTTGTAATTCATTTTCCCTACGTTTTATTGTATATATCAGGTGATCAAACTATCTGTGAAACTATAAGATTATATATATATATATATATATATATATATATATATATATATATATATATATATATATATATATATATATATATATATATATATTATTGGTAAAAGTTGCACATGATTTATTTAAAAAATTAGTACCAAACAAAACTAAACATCTTTTGTTCCAATCCTTTCCATACGATCGTTTAAAATTTACCTTTTCATCGACCCCAAACGTATCTTTGCATACTCCTAGAATTATATGTGATAGTAATATTTGAATGGAACAAATAAGCTAAAAAATATATGCACAATTCAATCAAAGGCAATAGTGTTTTACATAGTCAATAAGGTTTGGTTGGAAAGGTATGATCAAAAGCAAAAGTAGAAAGTTCACAATTTAATATAATTATATAAAAAATTAAGGATACTATCAAATAAAATATAACTAAATTAATGAGTCAGTTACTTTAATTATATTTTATATTAAAAACAACTATATTTTGTTTTTTTAACACATTTTAACCAATGTAAATAAAAGTATTTAACTAAAATACTCAATTTTAATAATTATTTCTGGTACGAGCAGTTTAACATGTTATAGGCAACAAAAATGGTCTATATAGAAAAAAATTGTTTTAATGAAATATTTCAATACATAGTGGATAAAGTACAAAATAACCAAAATCAAATGAGTTTCCTTAAAAGTAATAAATTAAAAGTGAATCAAATTGGTTGTATTTTTCTTGTAAATGTATTATCAGACATATTTTCTCAAATTAACCAGCGAGATAATTAACATAATTTTGTGTTACATTATGTCCAAAGCAGATGTTTTTCACCTTTATTTGAATGAGCTGGTGTCGTATCCTGCTTATATTCTTCACCAAAGCACTAAAAGGAGAACACCAAAAAAAGAACATGAGATTCTGTCCATAAAGAAAAGCAAGATTTGAAAAATCAGGAAAAACAGACAGAGAATGTGAATCAACGCTGCACACAAACTCATCAATCAAAAAAAGCTGAATTCAAGTGGAGTCCAGACTTCGAGATTTGTCAATGTCGATCCAAGACCTAATAATTCACTGAAATGCTGCAATTTCCTCATAATTTTCAACCTTTTTCTACTTCCCGACCTTCATGGGTTTAATTCTTCAATTTGTTTTACTATTTCTCACCTGTTCAATCCCTTCTCTTCTCTGTCAAGTTACAGGTATGCCGTCATCTTCATCTTTTACACTGAATTGGAAGATTCTCGTGTTTAATTAATTAGCATATATATATAATCATTGCAGAATTTGTAAGTATCGACTGTGGAGGAACAAGCAATCACACCGACCCTAAAACAGGTCTAGCATGGGTTTCGGATTCTGGAATCGTTCACCATGGAACATCAGTCGAGATCGAAAACCCAAACGACAACGCAATTCAGTATCAAAGGCGCAGGGATTTCCCCATAGACAACAAGAAGTATTGCTATACTCTAAATACCACAGAAAGAAGACGATACGTAGTTCGTACCACCTTTTTGTACGGCAGTTCAGAGAGCGAAAACACATACCCTAAATTTCAGCTCTATCTCGATGCAACCAGATGGGCAACTGTTAGCGTATTGGATGCATCGACTGTTTACGTCAAAGAGATGATCATCAGAGCACCTTCGAGTTCAATCGACGTATGTTTATGCTGTGCGACGACGGGTGCTCCTTTTCTATCCACACTCGAGCTCCGGCCGTTGAATCTCTCGATGTACGCTACTGATTATGAAGATAATTTCTTCTTAAAAGTCGCAGCTAGGGTTAACTTCGGTGCTTCAAGCACGGAAGCCGTAAGGTATGTTCTTACGATCTTCATATCTGACAAATTGAACGATTTTGATACAAAATTTTCGATATTTTAGGTATCCAGATGATCCGTATGATCGAATATGGGATTCGGATCTTGCAAAACGGCAGAATTTTCTGGTGGGGGTGGCGCCTGGAACTGTGAGGATTAACACAACGAAGGAGATAAACACAAACACGAGAGAATATCCACCGGTGAAAGTGATGCAAACAGCGGTTGTGGGGACTCAAGGGACTCTTAGTTACAGATTGAACTTGGAAGATTTCCCTGCAAATGCTCGAGCTTATGCTTATTTTGCAGAAATTGAAGACTTGCCGGAAAATGAAACTAGAAAGTTCACAATGAAGGAGCCTTATGTTCCTGATTACAGTAATGCGGTGGTGAATATTGAAGAAAATGCTAATGGAAGCTACACGTTATATGAACCTAGTTATATGAACGTTTCATTGTCTTTTGTGTTTTCGTTTTCTTTTAAGAAAACACTAGATTCTTCTCAAGGACCACTCTTGAATGCTGTTGAAATCAGTAAATATGTACCCATTGCATCAAAAACCGATAGAAAAGATTGTAAGAACAAACTAACTATCTCTCAGTTATATGAAACTAATCACAAATTAAGTTGACTGATCAGTTTTTTGTCTTCTTCATGGAAGTGAATGTTCTTGGTGCGTTTAGTTCGATGCTTGAAACTGGAGATATGATTGAAGAAGGTGATCCATGTGTCCCTGTTCAGTGGGCATGGGTGAGTTGCAGCTCGAATGTTCCTCCCCGAATCACCAAAATGTAAGTTGAGATATTATAAATTTAAACTTAGTTAAAAAAAATTATATGATTTATATTGATATGTTTGAACAGCGTTTTGCCAGGTTCGAATCTGGAAGGTGAAATTCCGGGTGGGATTAAAGACTTACAAGAGTTGACAGAGTTGTAAGTATTGTACTACAATAAAAATCTTTAAGTCAATTCAACATTTTAACAATTAACATTTAACATTTAACATTTAACACCCGCTATTGGTTTATTTTTAGGTGGTTAAATGGGAATTCACTCAATGGGACAATCCCGGATATGAGTAACCTTGAGCAATTGAAAATTATGTAAGTTTTTGGTTTATTACTCTTAAATATTCTAAAGAAGAGTAGTCTTGTTAAGTGTTTGCTGACTAAATGTGTTCTTGCCTCTTGGATAAATTAGACATTTAGAGAACAACAGGCTGAGCGGTTTGTTACCATCTTATTTTGGTAGTTTGCCAAACCTACAAGAATTGTAAGTGGTGATTTTTTTTTAATTTTTTTGCACATCAATGGGTTTTTCATGGGGTTATTAACCGTTAGGTAACTTTGATTGGTCCTTATGCAGGTATATTCAGAACAACTCTTTGACAGGGGACATCCCTCCGGCATTATTAACAGGAAAAATAATCTTTGTGTAAGCAATTTTTCCTTTTCATGTTTTAGAGAGAAAAAAAAAACGACATTAGAAACAGGTTGTAATGACATTGATGTAGTAAAAAAAAAAAAGTTAAAAATTGTAATGTCCTATGCTGTCTGGTGTTTTGATTTGACAACACATTTTCTGAAGTTGTACAAGATTTACTACTGCAGCTATGAAGGTAATCATGGCCTCCACAGAAATACGAAGCACAAATCTCATTACAAATTGATATTAGGAATTTCGGTCGGAATTCTTGCGGTTCTATTTATTCTGTTTCTAGGAAGCTTATTACTACTGCGACATTTTCGGACAAAAACACCGAGTCAAAGAAGTGACGATAAAGGTACCTAATCTTACATCCTTTTACGAATTAGTTCCCATTCCCATTATGACGTTTTTATCTGATTGGTAATTGTGAAACTAGCCACTACTCCAGGGGCATTTTCGTCACGCAAGAGCACCATAGGATTAATGGCCTACTCGACTCGAGCTGGAAGTTTAATGGATGAAGGAGTATCGTATTATTTTTCACTTGCTGAAATAGAAGCAGCTACAAATGGATTCTCGAAGAAGATTGGTAAAGGAAGTTTCGGGCCTGTATATTATGGAAAAATGAAAGACGGAAAGGAGGTGGCTGTTAAAATGATGGCGGATTCATCTAGCCATGGAACCCAACAGTTCGTTACAGAGGTAGTAATCGCAAATCACAAACAACAGTTTTCAGTAATTCATATATTACATTTGAAACGATAAGTAAATTGAAATGCGTACTATACTTACAGGTTGCTCTTTTGTCAAGAATTCATCATAGAAATCTCGTACCATTAATAGGATACTGTGAAGAAGAACACCATCGCATGCTTGTTTATGAGTACATGCACAACGGAACTTTGCGAGATCACATACACGGTACGTTAATTGTTAACCAAATCACGATCTACACTCTTCGTATTCAATCTGATAATCTTACGAGACAAAAATCCAAACAGATCGAGTCAACAAGAAGCATTTGGACTGGCGAGCTCGTCTCCGGATTGCAGAAGATTCCGCTAAAGGTTAAATAAAACTTCTTGTGGATTTTTCAAATGAAAGCGAACAATGACCGGAAAAGTTTGATTAATTTCAGGTCTTGAGTATTTGCACACCGGATGCAACCCTAGCATCATTCACAGGGACATAAAAACCAGCAATATTCTTCTGGATATCAATATGAGGGCTAAAGTATCGGATTTTGGACTTTCAAGACAAACCGAAGAAGATTTGACACACGTATCGAGCGTAGCAAGAGGAACAGTCGGCTACCTTGACCCCGAGTACTACGCTAACCAACAGTTAACAGAGAAAAGCGACGTCTACAGTTTCGGAGTCGTTCTGTTAGAACTTATCTCCGGGCGGAAGCCTGTGTCGCCGGAAGAGTACGGGGCCGATTGGAGCATTGTTCACTGGGTAATTTAAGTTTATGGGTTTATTTAGGGTTTAGATTCTCGTGGAGCAGAGTATTGATTTTTGTTTTTGCAGGCGAGGTCGTTGATTCGAAAAGGAGATGTGGCGAGTATAATCGATCCTACGATAACACGGGATGTGAAGATTGAATCGATATGGCGAATTGCAGAAGTTGCGATTCAGTGTGTGGATCAACACGGATCTAATAGACCTCGGATGCAAGAAATCATCTTGGCGATACAAGATGCAATCACGATTGAAAAGGGGAACGACGGGAAGATAATAACGTCGGGAAGTTCGCGAGCACAATCTTCACGGAAAACTTTATTAACGACTTTCCTTGATATCGAGAGCCCAGATCTTTCCAACGACTGCCTGGTTCCTTCTGCTAGATAATGTGTATACTAATCTAATAACTATGAAGAAACTGATACATAAGTTAAGTCGTACATGTTTTCTTCTTTTTGTTTGCAATCAAAATCAAGGAGTAGTCGTTGCCTAACTTGTAAGATCTTTTTATAAGCCTCATCTCGAGAGAACATGCAAGTGTGGGGCTTCAAACGGAAGATTGATGTAGAAATTTGACGAACGGAATTTTGTTGGTATCAAATATTATTAGGTTGAGTAATAAGTCTTCCTTTTTTCAATGCTAACTTAAAAGGGAATTGATTTTTCCACTTAACTTTTTGGTTCTTCCACTAAAAAAAATTACATATGGACTATTATAGCCCCATTTGAATTTGTAAATACTTAAAAATAAAGAAATGCAGTTTTTGTTTACATGACCAAGTCTTGGAAACTCCAAACGGCGGACGAAACACTTAACACTTCTTCCCCTTAGAGGTTGCATCTTCAGCTGATGCTTCTTCAGCCCACAAAACAAGATTTTCTCATTTCTTCTCGATCACCCATATATCAAACATGATCTTAAAGATGCGGTCATTATGTTATTAATATATCAGTCTTGCTAAACAAAAAGACCTAAATTATTGACACACACACAACAACCACACCCAACCAGACTAAACAATATACACCTTTAATCATGTACAACTTTATAGACCGGTGGATTTTTTAAACAAAGATTTTAATGGACTTGACATATGACTTCTTCACTTTTTCCCCAGGTATAGTAACCGTGACTCGTTAGCACTCTGTTTTCCATGGCTGCTTTCACATGATCCATATTAGCATTCTCTAGCGACATGAACTTTCCGGTGAACTTGTCACTGCTTCGTTCGACAAGATGCCATGTATGTTTTTATCTTCTTTGTCAACATTTTTCTTACCTCTAATTTGTATAATCATGTTGCTTTCTACCTCCGCCTTGACTTCTTCTTTCTTGATCCTAGGAAGATCGGCTTTGGACAGATCGACTTATAGGGTTTCCTTCCAATCTACACGTGTATTTACATAACCGTTGGTTTCTCTTGAGATATCAAACGCATATCAAATTAGGAAATCTATGAAAGGGTCCCATATTTCGAGTGAAAAAGGATCGAAGATGTGCTTCGTCTTCCATGGAAGAAACTTGGAATAATCGACATCGTCTACTGTCCTATAGACTTATCTTATAAACTGTTGCAAGAAGAATTCGCTTAGCTTGATCTGGTTTCAACTTCCGATGGCACTTGTGAATGGGTTGGGATTTAATATAGGTTCGAAAGGAAAACACGGATTTCTCTCTATTTACGAATGGAAAATTGGAAATAAGGGTATAATGGTCAATATGCTATATTTTTCAGTGGAAAAATAAAAAAGCTCCATGAAAATATCAGCTCCCAACTTAAAAAGGATTACTTTTGATTGATGTAGAAATTTGACGAATGAAATTTTGTTTGGTATCAAATATTATTAGGTTGAGTAAATCCCATGTTATGTCTTCCGTTTTTCAATGGTAACTTAAACATGATTGCTTTTTATAAAAAAAAAAAGGTCCATGACTTGTAAAGGGACTTTTTGTAAAATGATTTTTTTTAAAGCGCGTTTTGATTAGTTTATAAGGAACAAAAGTCAAAAGTTGTTTTTAAAAAATGTTTGCTAAACTTTTACCTCTAAAATGACTAAAAAGACATGCTTACATATTTACAATGGTTTACTCTTTTACATATGTTATTTTATACTTAACAATTTTTTTACACACATATTATAATTTTGTAAAATTTTTATTAGAAAATATAAAATATAAAATTCTTTTAAAATATTGCTAATTTTTTTTATTAGACAATGATAATATTAAAATTACGTTCTTATAAATTATAAATTATTCATAAAAAATATCATAGATAACGTCATATTACATTCATCCCTGCAATGTGATTTATCTTATGCAGTAATATTTCGTATCGCTGCCATATACGAATTATCATCACCTGTGCGATGTGTACATGGACCTTCTCCGTAGATGTGTACCTGGACCTTCTTCGTAAACTTCACTACTAGTACCACCTCGTATGAGATTGTATGATTCTTGTTGTGTTCTATTAAATGTTTCATCATACCTACCAACATTTCTAATATAATTATGGATCGTCATCGATGCTATCACAATTCTCACTTGATTCTTGTACTTGTAATTAACATGCATGTCTCTTAATAACGTTCACCCAAGTTTTTTATAGGTTTTATACAAACAATCATATGTGTGCATGCAACCCTATAGTTGGATCTATGTTTTCACTATTAGTTATACAACTTTATGAACACAAAAAAGAGACCTGGCATGCTACTACTATTTTCCAAATCCACATAGAAGAATAGAATACATACCTTTTGTTGTTATGTAGTAATAACAACTAGTTCCTTGAATCTCCTTAGCTTTGAAAGCAAGTACCATAAGTGTAGTACCTCTAATGGCTCACAAACACCAAGAGCAAGAGGATGACTTAGGAGAAAAGGAGAGGCGTCCAAAAACGTTTAGAAACCCTAAGGAAACTCTTGGCCACGTTTTTGGTGCTCTAGGGGGTCCTTAAATAGTGAGGCTATTAGGGTTATCAAACAAGGAAAACCTAATTTGACTACTCAGGCCCTAAGCAGCCCATGGACTCCCTCCTTAGAGGCCTTGGATGATTTCTAATGGGTTTCCCCATAAAATTCGTCCACCCCTGTAATATGGAGTCCATTAGCCCAATATTCAACTATCACACAATTGACAATTCTAGTCCCCTTTATTTAATTAATGTCTTTTAGCCACAAAACTAATTCTTATTAATTCTTGACTATTATTAATTAAACAATATGATTTCTCTTTTAATATATTATTCATATAATGTATTAATAAATCATAATTAATCCTCTTTCTCCATAAATCATCTTATCAAATTGCTTTGGTGAATATAACCCAAAAGGACCATGTACAATCGGGTCAAGTACATACCAAAATAGTTATGGACTTAGACATTAATCCAACCGTTTTCACACTCCAAAAGTTCGTTCAATGATATTTCTCAATGATGAGTGGAGATAGTTAAATTTCTCTTTCGGTCCACGAGGTTCACGAATAGCAGCCATGTGTCCACGTTGGAAATCCGGTAAATGATTACGAATATTTGCGCCTTTGTGTGGAGCAAGATACCCTTTGGTATTTGGATATCGGGCATTAACAACGTAATATTTATCTGTAAATAAAACAAAATTTTGTTATTCGTTTCAAAGAAGTAGTAAAAACATAAAACTTGTGTTCCAAAAGAAATTATACTAACCATCCGTTCGATATGGAAAACTAAGATCTGGTCTCTGTAAGGCTTCACTGAAAATCCTTGTGTCGTGTGTTATCCCCTCCCAACCGGCCCATACAAATGTAAACAACATGTTAAAATCACAAATTGGCCATTATATTTTGTGTTGCATATCCCTTTCGACCAATATACTTCGCTTCCTCTTTTTGTGGAACTGATGCCCTAACATGTGTCCCATCTATAGCACCAATGCAATCCTTCAAATACAAAAGATATCATAAATAAGTCATTTGTTAAAATTTGACTACCAAGTAACTGAACACTGGATAATACATTGAACATTGGATGATATCGAGGGTTATTTAATATATATATATATATATATATATATATATATATATATATATATATATATATATATTCGAGAACATCATTATTATAGTTTGTGTTTGGCTTGATGATGTCGGCACTCAGCTTTAGCACAACTTCCAAAACTGTATGGAGATTCCTATGAATCGGTTCCTCCAAATGATTAAAAAATTCTTGTATAAATATATTGATACACCCATGAGCCAAAGTCATCTAAAATATTCCTACAAACTCCTTAATAGATATATTTTGTGTTTGTTGCAGTCTGTAATTTGTAGCAAGATTTATACATAACTGTCTAAAAACTGGTACGTGCAGTCTAAACATCTCATAACACCGTGTAGGATGGCCATTAGTACTTTATTAATAAATTTGAAGTGTGACATGCCTTGCGTACATTACAAGCTAGTATGTAACACCCCGATTTCCCGAGGATCAATTTATGGATATAAATTCTCATGAGTTTAGGGCTACTCGACGAATTGGTTGCTTGACTCGCCGAGTAGCAGCGGGGTGGTCCACGACTTTAAGTGACCTACTCGCCAAGTCCAAGTAGGGACTCGACGAGTAGGAGCTGGAGGATGAAACCCTAATTGTCGGGGTTTTGTATCCTATTTAAAGGATCATAAGACCTCCTTAGCCTCCCTTCAGTCCCCTTGAGAGCCAGAAAACCCTAGTTTCGTGTGAGGACTCCATTTGAGTGTGTTTGAGATTTGGAAGGTGAAGTTGGTGAAGGAAGCTTGAAGATCAAGAAGCTAGCAGCAAGGAACTCGTGTGGATCTATAAACATGCCTCCTATAGCTTTGTTTTGAGGTATCAATTCGTGATCCTATCTCTATTTTCCTTTTAGGTCTCTCTTGGGTGAAATTAGGGCTTTTTACCTTGTTTTTGGAGCTATTTCTTGGTGAATAAGCTAGATCTGAAGTTGCAACTTCAGATCTGGACCCTTCTTGGGTTATAAGTTCATAAAGTCTGAGCCCTTTCAAAGAATGAACCCTTCTTAAGGAGTTAAACCCCATATCAAGCTTGGATCTGCCAATTAGAGCATCTAGAGCCTTGCATGCATGTAAAGCTTGCAGCTTTACGTGATCAACATGTATTGGGAAGCTGGATCTACAATTTTGGAGCCTTTACATGGCTTAAAAAACCCTTTTATGGATAAAGGACTGAATGAACTCAGTGAGTCGCATGGTCGATTCAGCGAGTCATATGAAGATAAGCATGAACTCGACGAGTTGGATGAACAACTCGACAAGTCCGATAAAGATTGTCGTGAAGCTCGGTGAGTTGAGTGAGTGGCTCGATGAGTCGGCTGGGATTTTCCCAATCTAGTGACACGTATGAGCATGA